GAACAAATTTTACAGGCTGGTAAGAAGTTTCAAGATTTTTAGTTATTGACTTCCATTTTTTTACAACCATTTCTTTTCTTCCAGTGTTATAGTAGAATTTTTTTAAGAATAAATAGAAAACAAAACATTTGTATATGATTAAACCCTAATTGATTGGTTATATATAAACTTTGTTCATTTAAAATTTATTTAATTAATGGCGAATTTTTACATAACAATATGGGTTATTTAGGTAGATGACATAATCTTAAGTAAAAATTGCAAAAACAAAAGAGAATGGTGAAACGTAATGAAGATTGTTTTTCCTTTTTTTTGGAAACTGTTATGAAGATTATTTTCACGAGTGATTTTAATAAGGGAAAATTATTAGAACAACCTTGAAAAATAGCATAATTAACAAATGTCATAAAAGACATATAAACCTTAGTAACAAGTTTTTATTACGAAAATGTCATCTAACTTTTTCCTTTTTTAAATCAAAAATTTGTTTGAAACCGCGGCCGTGGAGGCTGCGGAACCACCGGAGACGAGTTTGGCGGAGGTGTACCGCCGGATTTATATAAAATCGGATTGAAAATCACAAGAAAAGAACAACTTGAAATCTTTTGATTTTTGGTGAGAAAATAGATATATGATGTTAGATCTACTAGTTTTAGGCTAAATCCAGTTGAAAACAAGTTAAAATACAAGAAAAACGAGCTAAAAGGTAGTTGGCCGCCATTGTTAGGATTTGACAGAAGCTTGGTTGTGTGGAGAAGATGACCAGTAAATTATGATTTTATCCTTCATTGAATAACTCTACCACTACTATAAATAAGTCTACTANATATTTATAANNCTACCACTACTACAAATAAGTNTACATATTATAAATCTACCANTACCACGACTATAAATAAGTCTACCACATATTATAAATCTACCACTACTATAATATAAATCTATCACTACTATAAATAAGCCTACCAACTAAAGGTTGTGTTAGTAAAGAAGTGAAAAGATTGAATTAATCTACCATGACAATAAATAAATCTACCACATATTATAACTCTACCACTAGTATAAATAAGTCTACGATAGCGCGAACTATCAATAAGTCTACCGATCATAAAATTAACTCTACCACCACTAGAAATAAGTCTACCGATCACAAAATTAACTCTACCACTACTACAAGTAAGTCTACCACATTTTATAAATATACCACCACTATAAATAAGTCTACCATTGCGCGAACCATCAATAAATCTACCAAACACAAAATTAACTCTACCACTACTACTAATAAGTCTATCAGTGAAAAATAAATCTACCACTACTATAAATAAATCTACGACTGCGCGAACCATCAATAAGTCTACCGAACACAAAATTAACTCCACCACTACTAGAAATAAGTCTACCGATCACAAAATTAACTCTACCACTACTATGAATAAGTCTACCACATATTATAAATCTACCACTACTATAAATAAGTCTACCATTGCGCGAACCATCAATAAGTCTACCAACCACTTAATAAATCTACCAATCGCAAATAAATCTACCATCACATGAACGGTAGACTTATTCGCTTTTGGCGGAAAAATTTTGCAGCCTCATTAATGGTAGTTTCGCAAATACGTTTTTTGTTTTCAAAGAAAATAAGGCTAAAATGGGTATAGTACATCTTTTTTTTTTATCAAACCGATTTGTATTATATTTTTGTACTCCAAACTAGGAGCAATCGTCCAAAGATACAATACCTAATTTAACTAACGCATCGGCTAAAANATTTTCCGAGCGAGGAATAAAAACNAAAACGATAGTAGTGAAACCCTTCCTAAGACAATGAATATCATAAAAGATCGATTTCAACTCGTTGATAACACTATTCGTGTTGACTAGTGTAACAAGCGAGAGAGAGTCCGAGAATACGTTGAGTATTCGGATACCCGCAGTTCTAGNTGCAATTAAGGCAGCTTTCAAAGTTAAAGCTTCTCCAACCAAGGCCGAAGCCACATTACTCCTTGATATCGATGCTTGGTTTATGATCCTTAGGCTTNCGTCTTTGAAGCACCAACCTAAACCGCATTCACGAGTTGCAGCAATCCAGGAAGCATCAGAGAAACAAAGGACAGCCTGTGGTGGTAGAGACAGAGCTCGAGGCACTATGATTGGCCTAGTTTGATCTACACAAACCTGTGCCTCTTGCCATGCTCTGGCCTCTTTCAGAGGTCGCAACATCACCTCATCCGCGGAGGTACGACAGTCTTTAAATAACAGTTGGTTCCGAGCTTTCCACAGGTTCCATAAGAGCCATTCAAAATCACACAAAGCAAGTGGAAACAGGCGGCAATCAATCTCCATATAGGCGAAAGGTGGACAATGACTGTCCGATAAAACCCGAATAACAGGAATAAAACCCTCATACAGAGGTAAGTGAACCTCAACACGAGGTAGAGTAATGCTAACAACAAGCGTAGCAGCCTCATATAGAGGTAAAGGAAGGTAAATAGATGGTTTTATATCCTCATAATGAGGTAATGGAGAAGATTGGACCTTTAAGCTGCGCAAACATAATCCTAACCAAAGACATAATCCAATCAAACTCAAGTCATTCCAGAAGATCACATTGACAATACCTGTCAAAGGCGTTCTTGGGAATACGGAAGAGAGACGAGGCTTCAACTCGGGGAGCATGTAGATCTGGGAACTTGGCCGACAGAGCAAAGCGGAAGGAGTCCTATCAACGAGACAAACAACCAAACCAACATCACCAGAGCAAAACATGGACCACTTCTCTCCAAACTTCACCACCGTTGAAAAGATCAAGGGACTGGCTNTNGATCTATAAAAACNAGAGGTCGATAAGCGAGCAGGGGGAAGAGGCGGGGGATCCGGTGGTACCGGCGGGTCTGGCGGTTTCAGTGGTTGCGGTTTTGGCGGTTTCGGAAGAAACAAAACCTTGCCATGAGCGAGACCAACAAGAGTCGCTGAGGTCCACGAACTNATATCCATACCCAAGACGGCTGACGAGTTCATAGCTAATCTCTTCGGCGACATGAAAGGCTTCAAAATGACGGAGAGGGAGAGTGGCGGCGGAGANGAGATACATCAGCGGCGGAGACGAGACACGGCGGTGGCTTCTGGGGANAGAGACTTTATCTAAAGGAAAGTCTGGTGGTAGAGGGGCTGCGGCGGAGATCTATTTCCGGTGGTTTTGTGCTTGCAACGNCGTCTCTCGNGAGANNTGCCNNGGAGGAATAAAACTAGGGCGAACCGCTGTTCACATAATGTAACTATATTGTATTTTCTTAAAGAAAGAAAAATATTAGGCTCCAAAAACAAGTTTTCGAAAGTTGTATAGTACATCTTTGAAGGTTATTTGAGTAATTATGAAAGATTAGCATCCTTTTGGTCAAAAAACTATTTTTCAAGGTTGTTTTAGTAAACCTATTTTTCAACAATGACATGAATCTCGTAAAAACAGTATGTTATATTAATAAAATATATGTCATGCAACAGTCAACTTTTTTTTTGGTAACCAATAACATGCAACTTACTATCTCATTTATGTGTTTTTTTTTTGCAAATAGCCAAATAATGAGCATCATGTTTGTGTTTGTTAGGGATTTATACTCGAATCCCGTCCCAAAACGAATAATCGATTATGGATATTAAAGACACAAAGGTTTGTTCACCCTGAGTTCACCGAAGCTACGTCTCAGGGGTGGAGACTCTCCTCCACAACTGCATCCACTATGACGATCAGAAAACACCTCCGATGTGGTCTACAATAAGAAGATCATACACTCTCTCTATCTCCGGTTAAACAATCCGAGAGAGTACAAGAAGATATCAAGGGAAGAAGATGGGTACGAGCTAAGCCTAGAACCAGTGATAACACCTCTCTATCTAGCTTACTCTAGCTCTCTCTACGAGATGCCATGAAGCGCTCGAAAGCAGCTTAGGTCAACTAAGAAGCGATGCCTTTGTTTTATACTGAAAACAGAGTCGGTTGCTTGTCTAGCAAACCCTAACAACTCCACACTTGTCGACGAGCGTGTAGCCAATTAGAACACTCTTTGAGAGACTCTAACTCATCCAGTGTCTTTCGCTTCATGCCTTTAGTTAAACCTTCTGGCTGCTTTAGTGTCTTCAGCACACTTAGCCAAATATGCTTCTCTCCTTTGTTCTTCTTCTTCCCGTTTCCTTCTCCATCTTGGCTCTTCAAGTTGGATCATATTCTCACAGTGTTCGAATATTTATCGACGGGTTATAGTTATCTCTACTTGATAATTTGCGGGAAAAAGTCCAAAATATAAAATAAAGAAGTTTCTTCAGAGTTGGCCAGGTATTAGAACTATTGGAAATGGAAATTGATTAATTTGAAAATATAATTGACGCGGGATGTTTAGCTGTAAAATCAAGGTTAAATTCTCTAAGAATTGATTATGACACACAATATCCAAGATGTAAAACGGATGAGAAAACTATTAATCATGCATTGTTTAAATTATTTCTAGTACTACAAACATGGACATTTTCTAATATCTTTGCAGTTCTAATCGTGTTTTTATTGTCATCTATTTGGGTAATTTAAAAATTAATGGGTGTAAATGGTAACTGCAAAATCTGGCCGAATTTTTGATGACTTTTTACAGAATCTGGCAGAATAATGTTGAATTCAAATGGTAACTGCTGAATCTGACGGAATGTAGCAGAATTTTTGAAGATAAATAAATTAATTAAACTTATGAAAATATTAATTAAAATTTTTTTATCGAAATTAAATATATATGTTTATAAATTTATTAAATTTTACAAAAATATTAAATAAACTTATAATATTATTAATTAGACAATAATTTGTTGAAACATAAAATTTTTATGTTTCTATTTATATTAAATTTTAAAAAAAGGTTATAATCTTTTTATGAAATTATCTCTTGAACCTAATTTATATCATCAATA